AGTTCGGCGGCGTCGCAGCGGGTTGTTTCAGCGCCCCGTCGCTCGGGGGGAAGCGAAGAGATGAGCAACGAGAAGAACGCGCGTCGGCACGGCGATATGATACCCCGAAACTAGGTCGAATGCGGGGTCGCCCTGGGATGCAGCAGCGCGCTATGCTATTCCAGTTGAGATTGGTGTGTGGGGGTGTTTTTGCAAGTTGTTGTGTGTATTTGGATCGCCCTGCATACTGCAGTTTTCTATCGACCCTTATGTGTTTAGTTAGATATTGGCCCAGGTGCTTTGGTCATTCAGTTAAATTCGGTTGGATCAAAGACATCAGCGACCTCCCACTGCGCCACTGGCAGCGGAGCGATTCGCCCACTCCCAGGAGCCTCGCCGTTTGGCTGGAAACGTTCCTCCTGCAGCGCAGAGTTTCATGATCGGCGTGTTCTTCATCTGCGCACCTGCGCGCCTGTGGTTCGGCAGCCCGGCCCCCGTCATCAGGACCCTGACGGACCCTCGCCAGCACGTCAGGGAGGATAGCGGCATCCCCAGCTGGGACAGCAACTCAGCGTCGCGGGTCCACTGTGAGGCGGAGGTCCGCGCGTGGATTTTGGGCCTCAATCTGGGCGCGGGGCGTCCGTTCGCCGCACGGATGATCAGAAAGCTCAAGCGAGCTGCCAGGAGAAAGGCCCCCACGCTCAAAGCAAAGACTTGGGGCTTATCCGCCCAAGGCCCGCAGCGCTAGACGTGGCTGGCCAGCGCGGCCAGCGAGCGGCCCGAGAGGACGCAGTTCGCACCGATTACGAGCGCGGCGTTCGCAACCTCATGGAGGCCTTCGAGACCTTGCGTCCTCCACGGACAGCAAGAGCGGGCGAGGCGACGAAGTGCCGGAGAAGCACCGCCATGCGGATCTCGCATGCATTGCACCGCCGCGTCCGACCAAGGGAGACCCACCTCGTCGAGGACGAGGTTCACATCGCCTGGGATTCATAGCGTCTCCACGCGGAGGCTCATCGTCAGCAGGGGCCGCCGTGAATTGGCGTTGATCGTTGGCGATTTGCCGCGCGCCCGCGGCGGCGCCGCGGCGTTCGTACTCGTTGTTGCGTAGAGAAGCGCGCAGTCGCCGAGGTTCCCGAATTCATTCGGCAGCGCCGTGCGCCTGCGTCTGCGCGTTGCGCCCGAGCGTGCGAGCCTCAAGGCCCGTTGCAGACGACATGGCAACACGTGCTGGTTGCCTACACACACACACACACACACACACGCATTCCATGACCGAGCGCAGCGATTCATCTCCGATTTCCGAGCGCCGTGGGTGCGCCGACGAGTTGGGATGTTCTGCGTCGCCGTCTTCCTTGCCTTCCCACATCCCGCGCAGGGAGCCAAGAAGAACAGTCGCCTCTTGCCTTGTCCATGCTTCCATTGCCACCGCCTGTGCGGCATCCTCGTTTCCCTGCTGGGGTTTCACGTCGGTGCGTTTCTTTTGCACTAGAGAGAGAGAGAGAGAGAGAGAGAGAGAGAGAGAGAGAGAGAGAGAAAGAGATAGCGAAAGAGAGCGAGAAAGAGAAATACAGAGAGGAGGAGAGACAGACAGACAGACATACATATAGAGACAGAGACAAACACAGAGACAGAGACAGAGACAGACAGACATACAAAGACAGAAGGACAGAAAAGCAAATACAGTTCTTGGCGATCGTGGCCTCGCTCGCGCGCAGCAGCGAGGCGGGCAAAGGGTACCCGAGCAGCCTAGCTACGACAAAAACACTTAACAACAGACGCACGGACAGACCGACAGGCAAACATACAACCAGGCCAAAGCGATTGTTCAAGTCGCGCGCCAGCGTAACAGCCGCCTCCTCTTCAGGTGAAGCGCGGGCTGCGTCCGTGCATGACACATTGTGTAAGTGGCCTTCACGGCGAAGAAAGGCTCAGTGGGAATATGATATCGTGTTCGTTTTCGCTGCTCGCGTCACACAACCTACACCATAGCTTATTTCCCAGCCCGCCCAAACGTGAGGGGAAATGGAAAAGATGAGAGAGAGAGAGGAGAATTGAGGAGGGGAGGGGAGGCGGCCGAGGGAGGATGAGCAGAACGACTTGGCGGAGTCGAAAGAGAGGGGTTACCATTTGAGCTGATGGAATGTAGTAAACAAAGCGGGCAATGAGGTTGAACACAACGATGTTTGGGAGCAAAGGGGTGACCTTGGGGGGCCTCTTGCGGCCATCCTTGGGGCCCGCTTGGGGGTGAGGGGAGGAGGAGTAGGAGGAGGAGGAGGAGGAGGAGGAGGAGGAAGAGGAGGAGGAGGAGGAGGAGGAAAAGGTGGAGGAGAAGGACGACGACGACGATGACGACGACGAAGACCTTGACGACGAGGAGGAAGTCGATGAGGGCAATGGCGAGGACGAGGACGAGGAGGAGGACAACGAGGGCGAGGACGGAGCCCTGAAAATCGCTGTTTGGACCCCCCGTGGGGCTCTTTGGGGGGATCTTGGTATTCTCCTGGGGCTCTTCTGGGGGTCTGTGGGCTCTTTGTGGGCCCTCTCGACGCTCTCTCGGGGGTCCCTTGGGAGCCCCGGAGGGCCTCTTGGGCTATCGTGGGGAGCGTCGGCGAAAAGAGCGGGGTCGTGACGTGGAGTTCCCCTCTTCGGGGCCGTCGGAGTCGCGATTTGGGCCCCTCGTGGAGCGCTTGTGGGGCGATCTTGGGCGATATTTGGCCCGTTTTGATGGCCTTTGGGGGCTCTTGGACCATCTTGAGGCCTCAAAAGCGCATCGAACGCGAAAAGGCGAGAAGGCCAACATCATTGACTTTCATGTGGATGTTGATGGATGTTGGCCTGTTGGGGGGATCCTGAGGGGGCTCTGAGAGCACTTAGAACTGTCTTGTGGTCCTCGTCGGGCCTCTTGGAGATATGTTGGAAGCTATCTTGAACCATTGTCGGCTGTCTTGAGACATCTTGAAGCATCGGACGCTCTCTTGGGGCCATCGTCGGCGCCCTGCCACCGCGCGCCGCCCCCCAAACAACAACAAAACAAACGCAGGGAGGGAAGGGGGAGGGCACCCTCCCCGAAGAGAACGGGGATTCTGGTCGAGAGAAGAACGACCTCGCTAGACAACCATAGCCCAAGGAGGAGGAGGAGGAGGAGGAGAGCGAAGGAGGAGGAGAAGGAGGGGGGGAGGAGGAGGAGGAGAGGGTGGGGGGGAGGGAGGGGGGAGGGAGGGTGGGATGCTGTGGCGGCGGGCCAGGAGTCCGTCGGCAGCAACGCGTCCGCCTCCTCGCGTGCTCCGTCCTCGCAGCTGGTGCGCGACCAGGCGGCGGGGGCCCTATGAGATCTGTGTGCGGCGGCGCCCCGGGGGAAGGAAAGGGAGGAGGAGAATAAGGAGAAGGAGGAGGAGGAGAAGGAGGAGGAGGAGGAGGAGGAGGAGGAGGAGGAGGAGGAGAAGGGGGGCTGTCTGTGCGCCTCTCGGTGGCCTTCTCGGAGGGCCTGGGCGGCGACATCGTCGTCCTGGCTGGCTCGGTCGTCGCGTGTTCCTGGAGGTTCGCTCGTCGCCACGGCCGGGCGCAGCTCGGAAACTCGGCCGGGAGGGACCCCGGGAGGGGTCTCGGGGGCGGCAAAGAGCGGGGTGATGACTAGGGGGGGGGATATCATGGCGTGGGCCATGATATTTCCCCAGATTTTCGTGGCGCTTCTTCTTGCTTCATTACGTCTCTGGTCCCCCCGCTGGGCCGCGCACATGCCGCCGGTCATGATTTGCACCCCCCCCTCTTGGACACCCCCCTCTTGGCCGCTCCCGAAGTACCATCCCTCCTGTGTATCCTCGTCCTCGTCGTCATCGTCCTATTCCTCCTGCACCTCTCGTCCAAACCCATGCGCCCATTGCTCGTACACTACAGTTTTGAGTATCCGGTTCGACGTGCCTCGTTCCTGCCAGGGTCCGTTCCTGCAAATACTTTTCGCTGGGAGCGTTCCGGGAGCGCTGGAATCGTCCCGAACGGGCCATCCCGAGAGGGGGAGCAGCAGCTGCAGAGGGAGGAGAAGCAGGAGGAGCCAGTTACCTGGAGTGGCACCACGAATCACAGCCTTGACGGTCCGTTTCTGGGTCGCAGCATTCTGTTCGAGAGCGATCGGTGTGGGTTTTGCGGTGGCCGGTCGTCCGCCACGGGATGCGAGAAATGTGGAGGCCGTCAAGATGTCGGCGGCGAGCCAGGGGATCGACTACACGTAAGAGTGACCTTTCGTCCCCCGATCACCAATTACGAAGCGATAGTAGCGTCTTGCGCGCCTGAGTTTGGTCCTCCCCCCAAAAGCCGCGCACCAAAGGTCACTCTTACCCATGGTCACTCTTGCGTGTAGCCGAGGGGGGAAGTGAGAAGGAGAAGTTCTTTGCAGAAGGCTCGGAAGTTCCCCGGCCTGCTGAGAAGTTTTCTAAGCCTTCCCCGGAGGCAGACAAAACAAATCTCAGAAGGCGCGAGGGCTGCTGAGAAGTCCCGCCGCCTTCTGAGAAGGCCTTCTCCTTCGCATTTCCCCCCCCCCCTCGCTCGCCGCCGGAGATGAGCCCCGGCGTTGCCGTCATCTCGGGGCCGTTTGGGCACAGAACGAGAGCACCCGCCCCGTGGCACCAGCCGCGCCGCTTGTGCAGGAGGAGAGGCGGAGAAGGGCGAGGCGAGGAGTCGGTGAGCGAGGAGGGGCAGGAGGAGCGGCAGCGGCAGGGCAAGGAACATGGGGGGGGGGAGGGAGGAGGGCGGGAGAGAGACGGGAGGGCGGCGGGTCGGGAGAGAGGGAGCGCGGGAGAGGGTGAGGGGGCGAGCGCATGGAAAGCTCAAGTTATGAGGAGGACGGGGAGGAGGAGGAGGAGGAGGAGGAGGAGGAGGAGGAGGAGGAGGAGGAGGACGACAGGGAGGAGGAGGAGGAGGAGGAGGAGGAGGAGGAGGAGGAGGAGGAGGAGGAGGCAGCAGCAGACGGCAAGGAGGAAGAGGACCTGAGCGAACCCAGCACACACCACTCATGTTGCAATGGCAACTCCCGTTCCACGTCTTTTCCTCATCAGTGCTCCCAACTGTTCAGGTACTGGCATTACGATGAGCGCTCTCCCCATGGGTCTGCGTGCGTGGTGAAAGCCGTGTTCTGTGTGTTTTGAAATGCGTATCAAAGGTCGTGTACCCCGCTGCGACAGCGTAAACTTACAAAACTTGTTCGGCATGTATTCGCCCTCAACCATGTGTATGGTAGGGACCCATTCGAGGTATGCTGGATGCAATATTAACGCTGGACGTTCTGGCCCTTGACGCTCGCCCCCATCCGAACCATTGTGAAATCGTCGAAGGTGTCGGCGTTTGGGTGAAGTGAGACGAAGCTTCCAGCAGCAACACTCTTCTCTGCATATCCAACACTTCTGATGGCTCAGTCAGAAGGGCTGTTACACATCAGGAAATTGTGGAGGAGAAAGATCAAGTATTCTCGATTGTCTTTCATCGGCGGAGTCGCCGCCGTCACCGTCGTCGCCGCTGTCCTCGCCGCCGCCGCGGACGCCGCCGTCTTCGCCGGGCCACACCTCATCAACGGCCAAGGTCGCCCTGGGCAGCACCCCCCCGCTGGCGGCGGCTTGCTGGCCCGCCATGGGGCCAGGGGGCAGGGGGGAGGGCCCGCTTGGCTACCTGCAGCGCGTGCCGCTTCGTGTATTGATCCTTCGGGGTGCGCCCATTCGGCTCCCAGCCCCCCGGGGTGTCATGGCTGCGCAGAGAAGGTTTCTGGGCTGCGACCACCCGACATCGATCTGCGGGTCGGCCTCGACGAGTTTCGAGTGGTTGCGCAATCACCGTGTCCTACGTGAATGGCGTGCTGCAGAAGACAGGGAGGTGTATGGCAGCGGACAGACTGGGAAGTTTGAATTTGTGGTGATAGGAGCGAGACACCTTCCCCCAGCCTGCTCCGACGAAAGTACAGTCAACCCGCAGAACAAGGATGGGCAACATTCCAAAGGATACCCTTGCATCCTTGCCTCCTCGGTCCATCCTGGGCCACTTTCGCTGGCCGCGCCCCGCTCGAGCAGCTCCGACATGGCCTTCCAATGCCCTTGCATCCTTATCGTGCGTCCTTATCATACGGGTTGGCTGTATGTTGCACGCGCTCCGAGTCCCCTCCGGCCCGTGCAGTGCTGGCCAGTGCCGCGCCTCTTTCCGGAATGCTCCTTGCCGTGCCCTTCGGGCCTGCGCCAGTGCAGACACCAAGGGGCCCGCTGCTCATCCTACTCTGCTGGAGGGGAAGGGAGAGGATATGGGCGATGGGAGGGGGCCTGCGTGGCCGGCCGCGTGCGTTCGAGGCCGCAAGTGCGCGAGATGGCCCCGCACCTCGGATAGAGGGAGGGCTCGGTGACGCAGGAGTCTCCACGGCCGCCTGCGGCCAACACGCGGACGAAGCCCCCGGGGCGCCTCGCTGCTAGATCCACGCCGACCGGAGGCGGCCTCGTCGCCACGCTCTCGAATGCCGCCGCTGACCGCCACAGACCCACGGCAGGTCGCGCGTTGCTCCGCGCGCGCGAACGCCGCAGCGCGGCAGAAGATCACGTGCCAACTCCTCGCGTTCACGCGGCACGGCCCGCCCCGCCCCCAGACTGCAACAGGTCATCTGCATCCTCGCGGCGCCAGAGGATCGCGGAGGCGTGGCTGCTCCGACGGGGAGCGGCGGCGCCGGCCACGTCCAGCTGCCACCCGCGCCGAGCTCCGGAGCTAGGCGGCGCGGCAGGCCCAGGCCAGCCGGCCGCGCGGTACACCCACGCACCCACCAGTTCCGCCCCCCGCTCTCGGGGGCAATGGTGGAGGGGCATGTGCCCCCAATCACCCATTGATCGCCGATAGGGGCCCTCCCTCCCCTCCCTCCCCTCCCTCTCCTTCCTCCCCTCCCTCCCCTTCCCTCCCTCCCCTCCCTCCCCTCCCCTCCCTCCCTCCCTCCCGATAGCCCCAGCCTGCACGGCAAGGCGCGGCTGCACTGGCGGGGGCCTATCGCCGTTGTGTCAGCGATGTATCGCCGATCCCAGGTCGATGCATCCCCCCCTTGTGCCAGTCCCCCCCTGCCACTGCCCCGGACGTTCCCGCCCCGTCCCCGCCCCCCTCGGGCCCGTCGCCGTCGCCGCCCCCCGCTTCTGGCCGGGTGTACCATCTCCGGACGACCGGCGCCGGACAGCGATGCGTGCCAGTGGACCAGTTTGGCGTCGCTGTGCGGCTCGTTCTCGTCGTCTTCTTCTCTTCCTTCCTCACTCAGGAGGTAAAAAACACACAGACACAATGACTCGTCGACTCCCAGGAAAATATAGGAACATACGGGAGGTGGGGGAGAAGACAAAAAAATCGAAAATATGGGAAAAGATGGGGAATCCTGTTGTTTGTATCTATTTGTCTGTGTGTGTGTGTGTGTGTGTGTGTGTCTCAGGGCCCCTGGACTCATGCCATGCAGCGCCGAATCTGTCAGTGCTGCGAGAAGTTTGCGCCGCAGCCCCTCGGAGGCCCACGGCGCGCCCCCTGTCCACGACGCCAGGGATTCGCACGGCATCGGGGCCCCGGGCCCAGAGGTCATCTCCGACGGGGTTCTGGGGGGTCGACGTCCACGCATTCTCCCCCAGCAGGGCCCGAAGACCGCCGTCGAGCCCGGGATTGTTTCTCAAGTTTTTTCGCCTCCCTGGGTCGAGAGGGCGGGGCCGCGCAGAACCACCAGCCTCGGAGCGACTGTCGCATGATAGCGAGTACCCCTGGCAATACTCGTCACCAGAGTTGTTTGGTGTCTGCTGTCGTTCAGTCTTCAGTCTCGGGTTGACTGGGGAATCATCATCGCAATCACCATCATCATCACCATCCGAATCATCTTCCTCATTCTCCCATTCATCAGGAGGGAAAAAACACACAGACAGAATTAATCCTCGATCTCCAGGAAATATGGGAAAATATGGGAAGTAGGGGGGAAGACAGAATCCCAGAAAATATGGGAACGTGTGAGGATTCCTGTTATTTGTGTCTATTTATTTGCGTGTCCCAGGGCCCCTTCAATGCATCTCCTCCTCCTCCTCCTCCTCCTCCTCCTCCTCCTCCTCCTCCTCCCCGCGCTGCCCTGTTCAGCCCTCCGTGCGCCCGCCCGCCCACGGCGAGGTCGGTCGAGCGCGCGGGAGTCCCGGGTCCACCAAGTGGGAAGCTGGGAGGCCTTTTGCCCCTGGCGGTGGCGGAGGTGGTTCCGCAAGGGCGCCCTCTAGGGCGCGAAGTTATTCGCGCTTCGCGGTTCGTCTCCGATTCTTCATCCTCCTCTTCTCCCCGGGGAGGCGGCGCGAGAGCGCGAAGTTATTCGCGCTTCGCGCAGCGCGAAGCGCGAAGTTGGGAGCCCTTGTTCCGCTGCGCCATCCGTCGGAGGAGGGGTGCAAATCATCATCGGTCATCTGAGATTACGGGGATTGCAGCAACCCTTCGGTCGGCTGCGCAGGGAGGAGGAGGAGGAGGAGGAGGAGGAGGAGCAGCAGGAGGAGGATGAGGAGGAGCAGCAGGAGGAGGAGGAGGAGCGGGAGGAACAGGAGGAGCAGGAGGAGCAGGAGTGAGCAGGAGGAGGAATCTGCTCCGTCTGTTCATACATTGAGCTGGCATTGCCTGCTCTGGTCTAGTCTGCTTGTGTGTGATCTGGCTGGTACGGATCGGCTCGCGTGTGGTTCGTTCGTTTGTCGCGGAGGGCGACTGGTGCGGCCTGCACCTGGCGTGATGCGATACGACAGTGTAGGCGAGGTCGGTCCGTGGATGTTCTTGAGCTCCCTCTGGAGGATTTTGCCGTGCAGCTTGCGCCCGCATCGGGAGTGGACTGTCGCATGAGCCCGAGTCCTGGCCTGGCCACACCGCCGACCAGCCACACCGCTTGCCTGGCCTGGGTCCCCCCGAGCCCGCTCTTGCCCAACCACTCAGGCCCGGCCAGCCGCCGCCCACCTTGGCGTGGGCCGGCATCCACGGAGGCGACGGCTCTGGGCCCTCCTCGAGGAGCGGTGCCTGCTCTTGCTCCGACTTTTCCTTCTCTTCCTCCTCCTACTCTCCCTCCTCCTCCTCATCCTCCTCCTCCTCCTCCTCCTAGCCCCCGGGCTCGAAGGATTCGAGCAGACGGGGCCCGAGCATCGTATTCAGAATGCAACCCATGGCGCCTCGGCCGCGCGGCCGTCACATCGCGACGGGGTGACCACCGACCATGCCGAAGTTGAGGGCGTTGTGCTTGAATCCCCTGTGGGCTACTGGTGGTCGCCTCGCGGAGGTCGCGAGCTGGGTTTCACGCTTTTCGGTGGCACCCAGAGTGTTTGCCGTGAGGGCCATAGTGTCCTCCAGCGGCGTATCGGTGGTCGAGTGGTACTAGAAGCAGCAGTGCCGCCAGGATTGTACACCAACTCGAGCGCTAGCGTCCCTGTTCTGTTTGGACGTGGCTATCGCGAGCACCGCGTCCGCCGAGCTTCCCCAGTCCACCCGAACTGGGAGGCCGCTGTCTGGCCGCTCGTGTTCGTCAGGGCGTCGTGGACGTATCATGAGGGTGCTCTACTTTCCCCCGCAGCCACGGAGTCGCGGATCGGGCCCACGGTACTTCCAGACAGTCGCCAAGATGATCCAGTGGCTGCGCGCATGCCGCTTCCATTTCCCAGTTCGTTGTGTTCCCATTTTCTACGCCGACATTAACGACGGCCTGGGCTGTCGCAAGATGATGGCAAGTGGCAGGAGTACGAGAGCAACTCGATCGGCATGGTGCGCACATGTGAAAGACGACGCCAGGGCGTTGGCGAATCAGTGGCCGATCTTTTGTCTCAGCATTTGCTTTTTGGCGGCGAACACAGTCAGCAAGTACGAGCCCACGTTCTACGGCAGCGGTCCCGAGGGTCCTAGCAGCCTCCTCGAGTTCGTCTTCCTCCCTCTCGGCTGGGCGCCGCACATCACGAAACACCACGCGTCGCATCGGATCGGCGCCCAACTTCATGCCCAACGCGACCGACCTCCACGTGACTACCTTCCAGTGTGCCTTGGGTTTCTTCAACCACGAGGGCCCCAGGATTGCAGCGAGGCTCCGAGGCCGCCCGGGTGGGACATGTCTGATCGTTTGGCCGCAGTCAAGACGGGCGAGCAGCGCATGGATTTCGCGAGTGGCGTCGCGCGTCGCCAGGTCGCTGGCTGACCGCACCGAGGACCTGACCTTCGCCTACGACCAGGACGCGCCCGACCACACCTTCGAGCTGCTAGAGCGCTGCCTGGTCGAGGTCGGCGCAGAGTACTTCAGGGCCGACAGACCTTCCCGACGAGTGCGCGCACTGGGACAAGTTGAGGCGCGACATGCCCCAGAAGAGGGTCAACCTTCGCGCGCCGCGCGCTCGCGCCTTGGACCTCCAGCAGGCAACGAACGACCTTCGCGAGTCGTCGCAGAGGCTTTGTCTACTGCGCAGAAAGCAGGTTCGCGCTGTCCGCGAGTCTCACGCCCAGTCATCCAACGAGGCGCGGGCCCGTCGCAACGTGTGCCGGGCAACGGGCTGGGCGCGCCGGGCTGCCAGATGTCGCTCTCCTGCAGCGAAGAACACGGAGTGGGCGTCGCTTCGGAGGTGCACCCGTCTCGCCGTCGGCTTGGCTGGATGTCTGGCCCTTTCGAGGTGGCGACGGCGGAATGGAGGTGGAGCAAATCGACTTGGGTGCGCGGCGGGTCCCCCGAAACGATCTCGACCTGAGCCAGGTTCACGATATTGCTCGATCCGGCGATCGCCCGCAGCCGTTTGGGCCACGCGGCGTGGGCCGTCGTCGCAGATGCGTTCGGCGTGCCCCCAAGAGACGAGTCGTTCCAGAGGGGCCCGCCCCTTGGAGCTCTGGCAATTTCTCCGTCGTGATCGCGGAGTGTAATATCAGCGCCCTGATCAGGGAGCCTTTCGAGTCGCTGGAGAACCCGCCCAGTTTCTGGAGACCCCCCTGGACGGGGCGACGAAGGCCAGGATATCAGATTCGACGCCCTCGTAGTGGAACGTCAGCAAAGGTTGAGCTTTACACGAATCCGCCCAGCCAGGGCCTTGAGGAAAAGCGCGGTCCACGCACTGCCCGCGGCAGGCAAAGCCTTTCTCGCGGACGCATGACCGAGCGAACTTTCTCCAGAAATGCATCGGTGTCAACGACATTGTCGTCGAGAGGGGGCGATCGCGGCCTCTCCGGACATCGGGCAGAGGCTGTTAAAGGCGGGGCGGAGCTTCGGGGCTACTCTAAAAGAAAAACGCTTCGGGCAGCTCAGGCTGGGAGGCCACGAATCAGACAGTGCCCGCCCGCGTTCTTCCTGGGCGCGATGTTCTTTGCAGGAGTAGATATTGTGATGCTGTCGATCTGCTGCCCAGTGATGAGGGGTCGCTGGCAGTCAAAACAGGAGTGGGAGGAGTGATGGGGGGTCGTTCACGGCTGCCGCGTTCTCCAAGACGCTCGGCCGCCCTGTGTACATGTGGACGGGGCCCCTCCGCGAGGCCGACCCTGCTCTTTGGCTTCTCCGCGCTGAGTGGAACGGCCGCGAGGTCGACCTCAGTTTGTTCAAGTACGCCGATGACATCTACCGTTGCGAACTCAGGGCCCTCGGGGATTCCGGGGGCATTCCGGGCCAAAACAGAGCATCCTGACGATTGCCTCGCCCCCCCCCCCCCAGGGCCGCGGGCGCAAACGCAGTCGGGGCCATCGGGGGGCGGGGCTTGGATCGAGGGTGGCGGGGGCCATGGCGCGCAAGAAATGGCTTCGCGGGCCCGGGCGGGCCCTCCTCTCAGGCGCACCCTGGGGGCGCGTGAGATCCCGTGGGCCCCGTATCTCGATGTCCCAGGCGTCCAGTTGGGAGATCGCCCGGCGGCCCCAGGCAATGCGTTCCGAATTTTGTTCCGGCGCCCTTTTGTCTCGGCTCTGGAAGTTCTCGCGCGCTCAATATTGATGTCGTTGGTTCCGAATTTGGGTTTTTGCGGCCTAGAGGCGCCCCTCGTCGCCACTCAGCAATGTTCCGGTGTCGGACGCCACAGTGGCACACTTTGCCCGCGCTGCGATCGGGCCAGCTGGGCGACCGCGACTTGCGCGTTTGCGTCAAAAGGGTTCCATAGGCATTGGCGCATGTGTGAGACGCGCGTTGAGTTCGGCACCCGTCGCTTTAACTGGTGCAAGGTCTGGTCCCGCCACTCTTTCTTGCCACCTCCAGCTGCTCTCGGCCATCGTCGGCCCCGCGCACTTCGAGCCGGGTCTGCCCCCCATTATCGACGGCGTCTTCACCTCCCAGGCCCCCCTGCGGGTTCGACGGGGCGTGGATGACCTGCAATGGGCTCCTAGGCTGCTGCCAGAGACTACGAGGATCTTTCGGGATCTATCGCCCCATGCCCTGGGCCCCCTGGATTCAGGAAATCGATGTCACTGCTATCCGCGCTGGTGCTTTTGGTTATCGCCTCGCACCTCCAGAGCGCACTGAGAAGGCTTCAGGGGCTGACCCAGAGGAGCCCGTCAACCCCGAGGCGCCCCAGTCCGTCTGCCACGCCGAGGGCCGCGGGGGGAAGTTTGTTGCCAAAATGGGGGATCATGGCACAGGTGCGTTCTAAAAGTGGCCACGGATCCCTGCGTCGCGCTCTGAGTGCATCTAACATGTGCAGATGCTGTGAAGATGCGGGGGGCAGGGTTTGAGCTGAACGGCGTCTAGTTCTAGTCTCTAGCTGCGCAACGGGGACATTGTCGATTCGGCGGGGGTAGGACACTTCGACCTCTCGGGCTTTCATGCGACATTGCAGCGCTCCCTGCGTGAATCTGTGACCTCAGAGTTGGATGGTGCATGTATGCCGCAATCTACATATCCATCTCCCTGGCCCAGCCCCCCCTCGGCAGCGCCGTCGCCTTCCCGGCGCCCCGCGCGGGGCCCAGCGTCGATGTCAGAGGTGGCGGCGGCGGCGGCGGCGTGGACGTAGGACTCTTCGGCGATGTCGAGACGCCGAGCAGACGGGGCCCGCGCGTCGGCGCCGCCAGCCGAGCAGCCAGTCGAGACATAGGGCGAGGACAAGAAGGGCGACGCGCACAACGCACTGCTGGACGTGGCTGCCAAGGCGCGCCTCGACGACGCGCGCAAGCTGGCGGCTCTCGCGGGCGCGGTGCCCCAGAAGTGCAAGACGACAGAAGAGCCGTCGCCCCTGCCCCAGACCGCGATCGACTCAGGCGCAAAGCGCGGCGAAATCCCGAAAAGCTTCAAGGGGCGACAGACGCGCGGCGAAGTGATCGACTTCGCGGATCGAGGGCCGCCGCGCGTGCAGACGCGGGCCGCGGCGAGCCCCTGTCCCGCCAGCGTTGCGGGCAGCTTTCTCGCGGGTCCCGGGGCGCACGGAGAAGGCTGGGAGAGGGCGTTCACAGCGTACTTCCAGGAGCGCCGCGATCATGGCCCCGCAGAAGGTGGCCAAGCACGCGCTTCGCTTTCGCCGCCGCAAGCACCGGGCGAGGAAGGGCGAGTCGCAGGGCAGTTCGGGCGCGAAGAAGGGCAGGCTAACATTTGCCTTCTCGTGCGGCGGGCCAGGGGAGGAGGCGAGGATGTTGCTGCTTCGGTTCCTGATCAACGAGCAGGTGTCCACGGCGGGCCAGCTCGCGGTGCCAGCCCCGCGCGGGCCTCTCGAGCGCGAAGCAACGAGGCTCCTCTCGCCGATCGAGAAGGGCAGGGGAAAGGACTGAACCGGGCCAGGAGCGAGGAGAAAGACAGAAACCGTTCGAGGGACGGCATTTGTGAAACAACGCGCTTTGAGTAGGAGAGCGCTTGCAGGTAGTATTAGGCTAGCGTCCTTAGTGGCCCTAGGATCAACCCCCGATCCATTTCGTGCCACTAGTTTTGGTGCAGATTCGAATCAAAATCTTCTCCCGACCCCCTTCGTTGCGGCTCTTTAGCGGGCTCCACGGAGGGGGGCGGGTAATGCGTCCAAGCACTGTCGACCAGCTTAGCGTCGCTTCCCTTTGGCGGCCCCTTTCGCGCGCCTGCGCGGCGCCTGTGT